CAGCAAAACACAAAGTCCTTTGACTTCCAGCAACAACTGAAAACATCGGGAACTTCTCAATGCTCTTCCCAGAGCAAATCCCAGCTGAACCCAACCCCCAGCGCTGCTCCAGCTGCTGAACAGAACCAGCTCTGGCCCAGCTCACACCAGGACAAGTTTGATCACAAAAGCAGTAGCGCTGTCCTGCCATGGTCCTCCCTGTTCTTAAGGGAACTGTTGTAGGATGCTGCCAGGAACTCGAGTTCTAATTTCTTTCCCCTTAGAACTGGTCCTTACTCCCTGGGCAAAGCCTCAGACTCCTGATGCTGCAGTTGAGGTGTCTGAGCAGGATTCATGATGCTCTACCCAGTTTCTTCTCCCCTGCCACCAAGTTCTCCTCAATTGCAGTCACTTATTTAAAGTCTTGGTGTACTTGAGAGTTTTTCAGTGTGTTTGGAAGACAAAATGCAGAATTCTGGAAATGCCATGGAAGACTCTGGACTGAAATATGTGACTTTCACCTGGGACTGAGCTGAGATTTGCCAGTCTGGGGAAAGGAGCTTTTTGATACACCTCTCCAATGCTGGGGAATTTGGGTCACCCTGGTCCGGTGAGGAGGCCCTTGGGGTCAATTCCTGAGGAGGGACAATGGCAACATCCTTTCTGGCCAGTTCCTGAGCTGCATGTGCTGATTCACCCTTTGTGGTTTGATTTCCAGGCCCTGTGGGGATGGCAGCAGCTGCTGCTGTGGCAACGGGTAAAAAACGAAAGCGACCACATGTTTTTGAATCCAACCCATCGATCCGCAAGAGGCAGCAGACGCGTTTGCTACGGTAAGGAGTCCACCTTGGTCTGCATCCTCAAAGGATCTAAAGCTCCTGGAGAGTGTCCAGAGGAGGCCACAAAATTGGTGAAGGGTTTAGAGGGGAAGGTGTATGAGGAGAGGCTGAAGTCACTTGGATTGTTCAGCCTGGAGAAGAGGAGACTGAGAGGAGATCTCATCATGGTCTAGAACTTCCTCCCAAGGGGAAGAGGAGGGGCAGGTGCTGATCTCTTCTCTCTGGCCACCAATGAATGCCAGGAGCAGAGGGAATGGCAGGAAGATGTGGCAGGGGAGGGTGAGGTTGGCCATGAGGAAAAGGTTCTTGAGGCAGCCAGAGGGTGGTGGAGCACTGGAACAGGCTCCCCAGGGAGGTGCTCATGGCACCAAGGCTGACAAGATTCCAGCAGCATTTGGCCAAGGCCCTGAGGGACATGGTGTGAATGTTGGGCTTGTCCTGTGCAGGGACAGGAGTTGGACTGGATGATCCTTGTGGGTCCCTTCCAACTCACAACATTCGATGACTCTCTGATTCCAGTGCCTTGCATGGTGAGACCACGTGCTGTCTAGAAATTGCCCAGCTTGGGGATTTTTTTTGAGCACCTTTTTTAGAACTGAAGAGCTGTGTTTTAGTTTGCAGAGATGGTTTAAATTGCAGCTCTGCTCATCTTTAATGTGATATTATGATCACCAGGACTGACATGACCATTCTGGTGGGATCCACCGTTCTGTTTTAACCCCAGCTGGTCACAAGTTAAATCTGTCATGTTAACGTTGCCTTGAGAGATATTCATAGAGGCTTAAACAGCAGCTGGCCTGAGAATCTGGAGCTACAGCCATATCCCAGCTCTGCAGTGGCACAAATAACTTATCTACCTAAAGAAAAAAAGTCTTTTTTGCATTATGAAATGATCTTGTGAATAAATCTAGTGTGTGTGTACCTGAATTTCCTTTCCCAGTAGATTCCATTGTGTGAGCTCCATGCTGGAGACTGTCCCAGCCTGTAGTGCACAGTATTGGGGGAGAATAACGGATGGGAGATGCCTGCCAGAGCTGAAACACTTCCTTTGCCTTTAGAAACTTGCTCTGGAGGCAGCAAACTTCTGTAAACCTTCAGGTGTTGCATTACAGGTGCTCTGAGGCTGTCTGCCCGCCTGATGGCCACCTAGGAGCACTGGTGCTGAAGTGACTGCACAGGCTTTCCACAAGCCTGGAGACATCACCTGCAATTCCATCTTCAGGAATTATTTGTAAATGTTGGCTGGGACTATTTATTAGGTTTTAGAACAAAATAATTTTTGCATTTTAAACTGTTTTGGATTTAAATTTGATTGGGTTTAATTTTATTTCACAAGAGCTGGAGTATTTGTCACCTAATTTCTTGCTTGCTTTCTCCTGGGTGCACACTTAATGCACTGAAACAGAAACAGAGATGGCCAGAGTTTGGCCTTTTCTCCTTCTCTCCTGTTCTAACTCTTGTAAAGCTGGTGAGAAATTAAGTTGGTTTCCTTATATTTTGCTTAATTCTCTGCTCAGTCCCACAACACCCTTTGCACATGATCAAACTGGAACGAAGTGGAGCAGGGTTAGTGTTAAATATTATTCCCTGGGAGTGGAATCCCTTTTTTTTTTAGCTTCATTCTGTTTTTCCCTCCATCCCCCAACTCTGCTGACCCAGCCCTGTTTATTGCCATGTTTATTATTTATTTGGGGGTTGGAATTAGATGATCTTTAAGGTCCCTTCCAACCCTAACCATTCTATGATTCTATGATCGCAATGTTTCTGAAGAGCAAATTCTTTTCTCTCTTGAAACGTGAACAATATCTTTTTAAATAATTAAATTTCCTATTTAAAGGAATTATTTTTTTTCTCCATGCAACTACTTAATTTTACTACATGCAAATTACTGAAAAAAATGCACCATTTTTTTGCACTCTGCTCAGTTTGACGTGTTTGTGCTGGATATTTACACCACAATATTGAGTGGGAAGTTAAGAGTTTCTGATTCTGGGATCTCTGTGTAGCTGGTGGTGATGTTGGTGCTTTTGAGCAACGTGTCTGCTGCTAACAGCAGGTTCTGAAATGACCAGGGCATTCCTTAAAAGAATAAGAGGTGGAAAGTGTATGATGAAACATTAATTATTTGACTTGATGATCTTAAAGATCTTTTCCAGTCTAGGGAATTTTGTGATTCTGTGATTTTTCTCCCTACAAAGAGATGGTCCCAAAGGGACTTGCTGATGTGGCAGGTGTCTGACTACCTGGGTTCCCTCTGCTGAGCTGTTGCAATAGTTCTGGTTCTTGCCTGTCCTGTAGTTGTAGGTTGAATTCTTCCAGTTCTGGTTTGAGCAAGACTTTGGTACTAGAGAATAGCAATGCACTGTTGTGAGGCTGGATGTTAAATAACCTGTGTTTGCAGCCCTCTTTCGTTGAATCATTTAAGTTCCTTACCTTACAAGTTTTGTATTGCTAATACACTTAGTGACAGAGCGGATACGCAGATTCTTGCTGTCCTGGCTTTGCTGCTCTGGTGATTTCTCTTTATTTATTTATTTATTATTTTTTTACATCAATGGGAAAAGGAGAGAAGGGAGAATAATTGATATTTGAGCTGCTGGGTGACTGCAGGGAGCACAGCAGGGCGGCGGGAGCGGAGGATGTGGTTAATCTGACCAGCTGGGGCTCCGTTTCTCACCTGGTTTATGAATGGGTAGCATTTAAGAAAAGGAGTTTACAATGCAAAGTGTTGTGTTTCTACAGGGTTTTCAGCTGATACCTATTCCCTGTTTTCTATCTCTGTTTCAGGAAGCTTCGAGCCACTCTGGATGAGTACACCACCAGAGTGGGGCAGCAGGCCATCGTTCTGTGCATCTCACCCTCCAAACCCAATCCTGTCTTTAAAGTATTCGGTGCTGCACCCTTGGAGAATGTGGTAGGTGTCTATAGGAAAAGTTATGTCATAAATTGTTCACCTTCTCTGCAAGTTTCATTCTGCTCAAGGCAGCCTTGAAAGCCTGGTAGTGATCTGAAGGTCAAAATGGGAGTTGAGAGTGTGTGGACATGGGTGTAGCATTGATGGTCCTGTCTTCTCTGGTTGTCTAGCACATCTCACCAGGGTTGAATATCCTGGATTAAAAATCAGAGGGAGTAGATAGTGATGACATGTTTGAAGTCAGCTTTGCTGTCAGTGCTTGCACCTTGTTGCAGACCAGACAGTAAATGAAGCAGATCCTGACCATGAGAAGTCTTGCTTCAGAACTTTTCTTTTAATCCCATGAATACTTCCACTTGCCAGTGTTACTTGATGTTTCATCATCAGCTCTTCAGTGTGGCCAAGTCTTTGGGGACAATGGGTATTTTTTCTTGCCAGCTGTGGCATTGTTTGCTCCTTCTGTTCTGCAGCACCTTGGGGAAGGTGACTGGCCCTATGTCCTTGCCCTCTCCTCTCTTGGTGCTCCTTACCTTGTTTACCTGAGCTTAACAATTCCCCACAGGTACGCAAGTACAAGAGCATGATTCTGGAAGACCTGGAGTCTGCACTAGCAGAGCATGCTCCTGCGCCTCAGGAGGTTAACTCAGAGTTGCCACCCCTCACCATCGATGGCATTCCCGTCTCGGTGGACAAGATGACCCAGGTAAGCAGCAGAAGCAGAGAAAGAGAGAGAAAGATTTGGCTTCTTGCAGTCACATCCTGTTATTTTGCAGTGGAGCTTATATCTACCTCCCCAGGGGATGCATTTCATCTTTTCTTTCCCATGGGTCTGTAACAGCTCAGATCGTAGTTAGATGTGACACTTTGTTATTGGTGTTTATTTTCTAGATGAAACAGTAGAGATGCTGGTGAGAACTAGAGCTCAGGCTACTGGAAATGTTCCCCTTTGAGCTGTTTTTTTCACCTCCCATAATCTATGAACAGGGGAGCTATTTGTTCTGCACTTTGCAGTGATTTTTAGGCACTGAGGTCAGGAAGGTCACTCGTGGAGTACTATTTTGGCTTATCCTCCTTGGACATTTCTTGTGTGCTCTAGTTCCCTCCTCTGTTTTCTGCTGTGGATTGGAGCAGAGGGGAACTTACTGATGGTTTAACTCCAAGTCAGACCTTGAGTGAGGTATTTCTGATAGAACCAAGGAGTCATCTGCCTTAGGGGTGTGTGGGACTCCTTTCCTCTCCAGGTCCAGCCTTTTGCTGACCTCATTATTGCCAGGAGAAAGTGGAGGGGATCCCCAGG